TTCTGAACCTGGGTTAGCAAAACCAACCCCCAAGTTCTCTGGTGAGAACTATGTCTTTTCAGGAACCCATGGTAAAGGGGGCCAAGATTGGTGGCGGGGGGGGGGTGTCTCATTTCTTCTGTCCTGTGGATGTGGGTGGGGCTGGAGTGTTCTTTTCAGTTAGGAACGTACCACACAGCAAGAGGGCATGGGGACGAGTCAGAGAACGACAACCAGAGTCCCAGGGGAGTGAGCTGGGAGGACTTCTAGGCTGTTCATGGGGAAGAGGGCTTAAAGTGTTGTGTTTGCCCCCTGTGTGACAGAATGAAGGACTTGAGAAGGACATGGTAGCTCAGGAGGGCAGAGTTTTCCAAAACTACCTCAGGAGGTAGAGGGTAGTTTGCTGTCTGTGGAAGCCTCCAGCAAAGCCTAGATATTCAGTAGGACATGTTAGTGGAGTGGTTGAACAAATGGCTTCCAAAATGTTTTAAAAGTAAAATCCTGTGAATATTTAACTTGCTGCTTAAGTTAGACATCTTAATATAGTTCATGTGTAAATTACTATTTAAGTCATATGTACCTCTATCTTCTTTATAGATCGATTACTTTGGGGTTGCTGCAACAGTATATTGCATGCTCTTCGGCACTTACATGAAAGTGAAAAATGAAGGAGGAGTGTGGAAGCCTGACGGTCTTTTCAGAAGGTGAGTATTAACATTGGTGCTACAGTGAAAAGATAATAACTATAGTAGAATGTTGGGTTCCATCTGGGAAAAAAAAAAAAAAAAAAAAAGGATCTCTGCCACTGCATGGAAATCCTGTGCCTTGGGTAATATGCTGTCAGGACAGTCCTGGGCACTGGGCACAGGGAGCAAGCTGCATAGCTTTACCACTTCTGTCTCCCCATTAGGGCAGCTGATGCCCTCACTGAAAGCTCCTGGCCAAATGGTTGACATCCTGTACACGTGCAAAGTTGCTACTCTTATAGAGGAATCACCTAATATCACCAGCCCTCAGGTTTTCACATTTTTTTTTTTTTTTTTTGGTCTTCGGAAATACTGATCCTACTTTTTTCAGATATTTGTAAGAAGCAAAGGAAATAGTGTATGTGAAAGTGCTTCATAAATTATAAAGTAATGTGATGGGTAACTCACATTCACAGGAGAGAGTTTTAGGTTCCAGCTCTGTGTGACTTGAGTTTCTCAAATATTGTTGGTTTTTCTTTTTCTGTAAATCACAGTGAAAATTCATGATTAGTCAGGAGTTCTTCCTGTCAACCTGGATGGCTCTCCTAACACAATGTGTGAACAAACTGTTGGAATAAGCTATTTTGTTTAAGCTGAGTATTTGGTGCCTGAATATTCATTATATCACTTGTACTTTCTTTTTTGAGGCATAAAAACATGCAGAAAAGTACACTCATCATAAGTGTTCAGCCTAATGGACTTTTACATATGTTTATACCTTCTTGCGAAAATGTAAGATGGGGTTCCTGTAAACCTCATCTTCCGCAGCCCCCTCAAAAAAAGAAAAATAGCAATAATTTTATGAAATGTCATATGCTGTACATAAATAAAGTTAGGTTCAGGCCCTAGAGGAAAGCTTATAACAACTATTCTTTATTTTGAATAATGAGCCCTCATGTTTAGCAAATACTTTATTCCATCTTTGGCTCAAAATTGAAGAACCAGATAGTTTCATCTCTGACTACCAGTGTGAAGAAGAGCCGGAAGTTAACCCTCAGCAGGCCTGATGGCATTTCCTGTCTGGAGCACAATTCCATTTCATTCTACTTTTTCTCCCACCTCTTATCTCCGTGTTCTGGAGTTTTTAGTTAACTTAAACAATTAATAGTAGTTGGAAGTCTTAACTCTGAGCTTTCTCCTGGGCAGCCCAGCCAGTCTATCTGGTCCTGGTGCATGTGCGGTTAGCCTTGACAGAAGCATTTGGCCAGATTATCCAATTCTGGCAGCATGGTATGTACAGCTAGCCAGAAGCAGATAGTTTGGCTTTTTTTTCTAAGAGAAAGCAAGAACATTTTTTGACTTGCAGTATTACTAAAAGATTACGTATCTTAATTATTTTTTGGAATAAGATGTATAAGACATTTAATTGAGTCTTTAATCTCTATCGCATGTAATAGATTCAATGTTTCCATTTTTGCTGCATTGTGTTCCATTTAGGGGAGAGTTGTTATATTAAACTGTCCAAGCCTGTGGAAGTCAGATGCAGGAGTGGGGTTATCCTGCATGTTGAAGGCTACATTTTATCCATTATTTATGCTTTGTCTCTTTCAGGCTTCCTCATTTGGATATGTGGAATGAATTTTTTCATATCATGTTGAATATTCCAGATTGTCATCATCTTCCATCTTTGGATTTGTTAAGGCAAAACCTGAAGAAAATATTTCAGCAACACTATACTAACAAGATTAGGGCCCTACGTAATAGGCTAATTGTACTGCTCTTAGAATGTAAGCGTTCACGGAAATAAAATTTGGATATAGAAAATCCTTAAAAAACACACTGTAAATATGAATCTGCTCACTTTGAACCTTGATTTTTTCCATTTATTGTTTATGTACATGTTTGTTAAAAATAAATCCCATAGAATATATCCATGTGACTTAGTTGTTATAAATATTTCAGCAAAATACACAACCCCACAAGGTCCCTGTGTAGCAGGCTGATTTGGCTACTTCCGGGATGCAAGCATTTGTAAGAATAATTCAGATGTGAACATTCTCTAGAAATTACTTTTTAAACACTGACCTGTTTAAGCCACAAAAGGGCCAAGACAGCTATTTTCCAAATTCAAAGTTTTGTGTCTGTGTAAGACACACATACATACATTTCCCTAATATTTCCAAGGGACTTCAAGTTTTTCTGAATAAAGCCTGCCTGTCCTTTATTGTACCTGTTCTTCATTGTTCTCTATGAAATACAAATCCTAAACCTGTTTATTTTAAAAGTACCACAGGAAAATCTCAGGTTGTAAAAAGTCTCTTTTATAAGCTGTATAGATCATTAATTACTCATCTCTAGAATTATAGAAGACAACTTGGCATTTATTGACTTTCAGAGCCGGAAGGGCCTCCATCCCTCTCCCTTGTTCCGTTAGCATTACAATGAAAACAAATCACAGGTTATGCACAACTCAGGAGGACAGAGTGAACTGCTTCCTCCCACCCTTATCAGCTATCAGGTTCCCCATTCCAGAGGCAAACACACCCCATTTTTTGTGAATCTTTCCAAAAATGATGCAATGAATATTTTTATATACTGTATTTTTGAAGCAACTGGCATAATTCTTATTTTTTTTTCACTTAATGTGTGGCAACAGAGAATATAACTACATATGGAATGACCTCATACTTTTTAACAGTCATGTATTAGTTGGTTATTTGGTGTATCTGTCATATAAATGCCTAGAAGTGAAATTACTAGGTCAAAGGTGAGTGCATTCAAACTTTTGTATTAATATCTGCAAATAGCCTCCCATGGGAGCTGTGTCAGATATCTATAAGTGTCTTTGTTCCTCACACTCTCATCAGGACAGATCAGGCTCTGTTTGACTTTTGCCAATCTGATTGATGAGAAAATAGTAGCTCTTTACAGTCTTAATTTGCATTTCTCATTAATTAGGCCAAATATACTTTGTAAAAGCTATATGTGTTTTCTTTTCCTGTGAACTCTTACCCTTTGTCCATCTTTCATTTAGATTGTTCTTTTTCTTGTTAATTTGTAGGAGTCCTTTGTATATGAGGCAAAAGTATTTGTCCCAATTTGTCATCTATCTTTTCACTAGTAAGATTTCTGTTGCTGTGAAGTTTTTAAAATTTTGCTTTGTGCTCTGATTTCTAGTTTTAAATGGCTTTTGGCTTTTTGTGTTTTAAATTACCATTCCCAATTGAAGTCAGAGCTCTTAGACAGCTGGATGTTTGGCACACCTGAAAAGCTGTCACTTCATGTCTTTCTCTGCCACTGATCCTAGGAGCCACGGGGTCCTTTGACTTCCTTTCCATCATACAAGTCCAGTCATGTGTCCCGTCGGTTCCATTCCGGATGCTTCAGAAAAACCCACTTCAGGACTGGTTAGGCTATCTCAGCCTAAGCTTCTGTGACACCGTGTACCCGCACGGGGCTGGGAGAAGGCAGCAGTGACTTTTCTCCCACAGCAGTCTGGCTGGGCGATCCCCCATTGCACCAATCCGTGGCCCTCATAGGAGTCTTCCACGACGTACTATCTTCTCCTCGTTGCTGTTTCCAGGCCGGGAGGAGTGGAGGCAGAGGCGGGGACTGTTCCAAGGGCAAGACTTGCTCACAGCCCACGGGGCAGACACGACCTTATTGTCCCTGGCCCCTACCAAACGGAGGGCCCCGCTGGGAGTCCATGTGCGAAAATGTGAGGTGACGAGTTCACTGAAAGGCATCAGAAAATTCTGGAGAGGCGGCAAGCCCCGCCACCACTCCTCTGAGTTTCCCCCCGCCCTTCCTGTCGAGTCGGGATGACCAGGGCGGTGGCGCCCCCTGGTGGCCTTCGCGCTGCCACCAGGAGGAGAGCAGAGGTTTCTAGAGAAAGCTCCAGCAAGGCCAACTCCTGGATCTCCCCGAAGGGCTCAGGCAGCAAGAGCATTTATGTAGCAAGGTTTACTCCCTTGCTCTTTAATGGTGATCACAGGGAACAGCGTGTAGGTCCACGAATGGGTGAATTCTTAAAGAAATCATGAGACGTTGATGGGACGGAATACTCAGCACAATGTGCATGTGTATGAACCAACATGAAATAAAGTGATAATGGAAACAGCAGGTTGTGGAACGATACATAAGAAATATGTCATGATATCCTACTTAGGATTTAGAAATGCAATTATATATTAATATATCTAATACACATGACTGTGGTCAGGTTCCATTCCAGAAGGATAAACAGCACACTCAGCAGGCACCCCTGGAAAAGGTGTGTGCGACTGAGTAGGGTGCGTGAGGAAGAGGAATAAGGAGCAACTTCCAGCTTCTTACTCAGGTTCTGGATAGAATTCTTTAAATGTCTGTGCATTATTGGCTAATTAAAATAGAATGCCAGCCATATCTAACATTCGAAAAGATTACATTGTAACTCGATACATTTAGTATAATACTTTACATAGTAATAGATATAATATATACAAAGAATTAAAAGAACAGTCACAAGGGTGCCAGGACTCCACACACGACATGGGCTGGGTCAGCAAGACCCCAGCTCCCAAATCCTGGTGGCAGTGGGAGTCTAGAGCAACACTGCAAATGCCAGGCGTGGTTTTAAGGCAGGAAAACAAACTTGTCAGAGCACACTCTGCCACAGCACTTACCAAAGCCAGCACTGAGCATCGGCCCTGCGCTCTTGCTCCAGGCCCCGCCACCGACCCCCAAAGTCCTGGGAGGAGGTACTATTTGCCTGGCATTTGCAGATGAGGAAATGGGCCACAGAGAGGTATGGCTGGTGGAGAGCCAGGTGTGAAACAAGAGTCTGGCCACAGAATCCATGCCCCAAAGTCCTTGGCTTTGCTCCTGCAGGACACAGCCTAGAGGCCACTCTCAGAACCAAAGAAAAAAATGTCCCTCCCATGCTAGCTTCAGTTGCCACCCTGACACATGACATGCAACATGCTACACATCTCAGGTCTCACTGCATTGAAACCTCAGGTCATGGGGACACACTCCCACTGATTCCCCTGCCTGATGTGGGGGCCCATGACAAGGCACAGGAGAATGAGGGGCACATTGCCGGCTCTGCAGAGAACCCCATGTGCTCAAGATGCCATGGTGACCTGGTATAGCCAAACCCTTAGAGATGGAAAATAGAAAGATAGGTGTCAGGAGCTTTAGGGAAGGGAAGATGGGAGTTGTTTCATGGGGATAGTGTTTCAGTTTTGCAAGATGAAGAGTCCTGAGATGGATGGTGGCTGTACAACAATGTGAGTGTACTTAGCACTTAGACACGCTTAAGATGGGAAGGGTTACGCTGTGTTTACTTAAACACAATGAAAAGTTGTAAAAATAAAATAAATCCCTTTTAAGTTCCCAGAAGATGCATTTGCTGTCCTAGGGGATTTCCAGTGGGGAAAGTGACCTCAGAAAGCAAGTGTTTCAAAATCTTGTCATCATTGTAATTCTGTTAAAGAAGCTTTGAGAGCACACCCCTGTTCCCAAAATAAAGAAGCAGTTGTGACAATTATATTTCCACATTCATATTTTTCTTCATTTTGAATAAGCACTGCCTTTAAAAGCTACTGTACTATAACATATTCCTTTACCATATTTAAATATTCGTATTCGTTTATGTAACAATGCAGCACAGGATTAGTTTAACAGCACAGCAAAATACCGCATAAAAATAAATGAAAAGCTTTTATAGACTCACTGAAAAGATGACATGTACACATGTGTGCAACAAGTGCTCTTTACAATCTCTTCAACAATTTTTCTTGCCTTATGGCCATAATCAAACATAAGAACAACCCTCAGTGGGGGGCCCACCTGCACAGCCTTTCCACACCATTCAACTGACCACTCAGGGCAGGCCAGGCGAGGCCTATTCACAAGCTCATTAGAACACAGAAGGGACCCTGGGCCAGAAACATCACCTCCAGATAACACATGCAAAGAGGTGACAGCTTATCTCAGTTTCTAGTTGTGGGCCCTTCCATGACCAAGATCATGCACTGTTTTCAAAATTGGGATTCTTGGGACACATGTCACTGGGTGAGAAGTTCAGAATCTCATCCAAGGCAGGGCCTTCATCCTCAGGAGCAATTTCAGACTCGAACATCTGCTGCAGCAAGGCATCCACGGTCCTGTATTCTAGGAGGAAGGAGAAAGAGGCATATGGGCAGGATGTGGTGGCTCACACCTATAATCCCAGCATTTGGGGAGGCTGAGCAGGTGGATCACGTGATGTCAGGAGTTCCAGACCAGCCTGGCCACCATGGTGAAACCCCGTCTCTACTAAAAACACAAAAAGTTAGCTGAGCATGGTGGTGGGTGCCTGTAATCCCAGCTACTTGGGACGCTGACGCAGGAGAATTGTTTGACCCAGAAGGTGGAGGTTACAGTGAGCTGAGATCATGCCTCCAGCCTGGACAACAAGAGCGAAACTGTCACCAAAAAAAGGCACATGGAATCCAGATGCGCTGGGGTCCTGGGAAGCACTGAGCCTTGCAAGTCAAGGCTTTCCTGAAGGATGGCCCTGAGTCAAAGACAAGGCTCTGCACACAGTAACCAAATACTTCTTGAAAGCAAAAAATCACCCATCCATCCCGGTGTTGACCCCCACAGAGCTCCCCCACCACTGGAGGCATTGAACACAGAGGAGGAGGTGCTTCTAGAAGGCTGGGGGAGAACAGCCACCCTTAGGGGCTGCATGCTCACACCACTCCTGCAGTCTGGGCTGCAAAACTCAGGCTGGGCTTATTGTAGGGCGCCTCGGGTCACACCTGTAATTCCTTCCAGCAGTTTGGGAAGGAGAGGTGGGAGGATCACTTTAGCCCAGGAAGTTTGAGACTAGCCTGGGCAACATAGCGAGACTTCATCTCTACAAAAAATCTTTTTATTTTTTATTTTTTTATTTTTATTTTTTAAAGGCTAGTCAAGTGAAACAGTGGGAGTGGAGAAGGAACAAAGAAATCTGTAACTGGTTGTGATCAATTAGTTGTAAACACCACTGCACTCGAACCAGCCTCTACAAAAAAATCTTAAAAAGAAAAACTCCTGACAGCCTTTTTAAGAACCCCAGCCCCAGCTCTCAGAGGAGTCCTGATGACCAGAAAACATCCATGCAAGAGAATCACAATGATCACAGATACTCAAATGAAAGCCACATGAGGAGCCAGAGTGCTGAAGTCACATATTCTACTGGAAGGAGACCCATTTTGAGAGGTAAGACTTCATGGCAGCTTTCAAATGCTTACTGAGTTCTCTCATGAAAAAAAGGTCAGCACAGAACTCGGACCAATGAGTAAAATTCACCTGGGGGCACATTTCCCTCCCACTGGAACCCATCAGGGGTACATTTCCCTCCCACTGGAACCCATCAGGGGGTACATTTCCCTCCCACTGGAAGCTATCAGGGGGTACATTTCCCTCCCACTGGAAGCTATCAGGGGGTACATTTCCCTCCCACTGGAACCCACCAGGGGTACATTTCCCTCCCACTGGAACCCATCGGGGGGTACGCTTCCCTCCCACTGGAACCCATCGGGGGGTACGCTTCCCTCCCACTGGAACCCATCGGGGGGTACGCTTCCCTCCCACTGGAACCCATCGGGGGGTACATTTCCCTCCCACTGGAACCTATCGGGGGTGCATTTCCCTCCCACTGGAACCTATCGGGGGTACATTTGCCTTCTAGACCCAAACTGAGGGGCAGACTGGCTTTGGTTTACTCAGCCAGTTTTATTCATTGAGAATTAATGAAGCAAGTAAATGAACCGTTGTTAAAGACCTCTCTGTCCCACGGCCATGGTTAGACCCTGGAAGATACCATGAAGAATCAAAAGACATGACCCCACCCACGTGGGGCTTTCTACCCATGTGGAGTCTGCAAGGAAGACAGATGGTGATCAAAACAGTTACTCAGCAATGTGTGTCCTGCTGGCATGCACAGAGAGGAGGGAAGAAGAGCTGGGGACCACAGAGCACCTGACTTTCTCGGAAACACCAGGGGGCTTCCTTGAGGGAAGGGCTGCCTGAGCAGGGGCCTGAAGGATGAGGGACCTCAACTCCTCAAAGTGAGGTAAGAGTGAACTCGAGGAGAAAGCAGCAGCTGCAGAGGCTCTGGGGCAGGATGGAGCAGGGGAGCTGAGGGGCTGAAAGGCCCCACAGGGCTGAGGAGTAGCATGTGTGGCGGGCTAGTGGGAAGGGAGAGAGGCTGGGATGCTGAGAGAAGCCAGGTGCAGGGATGATCAGGGCCATGGTGAGGGTCCTCATCTTTATCCTGGAAGATTAGGAAGCCACTGAGGGTCAGATCTGCATTGTAGAAACACCACACTGGCTGCTGTGAGGACAGATTGGGGGAAGATCAATTGTATTTTTGCATCAGATTGAAACTTACTTTTTGATGCAATTCTGCAGTACAGTCCTTTCAAGGCTTTCCTTTTGTTGTCGCCATCATCCCCATGAAGGCCACGGTCCTTGGTGTCCACGTCATCAGTGAGCTTCCCATCTTGAAGTTCTTCCCTTCAAGGAGGAAGAGGCAACAGAAATGTGGTCAGGTCCCTCAGCTAAGTTCCTCATGTGGTCTCCCAGGCACGGCCTGGTGATCTGTGTCCAGGTACACCCAGGGCACTCATCTAGAGAGGCCCTCAACAACAGGCACACGGGGCCAGGCTGGGTGCCACCAGGCACCAGCAGGTTAAACATGGCAAGGTCTTTGAGTGCAGCCCACCTCTAAGTCTGAGGGTCACCCAGGGAGATGCACTACTTACTCTTGGATTCCCACTCCAAGCTCTTGAATCTTCTTCTCAATAGCAGTTTCCACTTCACTTTTTTCTAATGAATATGCCACAAAGAATGCCTCCAAGACAAATGCTATGAAAATACTGAGGAGGAGGAGGAAGAGGTAAGAGGGGGTTAGGCTGAACAGCCATGGTCTAGGTGACAAGGAGTCCTGGTTGCAAAGAACACTTGAGCCCAAGTACAAGGGCAGCCTACTGCTGCAGATAAAATGCATGGCAGGAGGGAGAAATGACAAGCAACAAAGCATCTCCCAAGGACTAGACAAAACTCCCATTCATCCAGAGGCTCATCCTTCCTTTACATCCTATTTAAACAATAAATATTGGGAGGAAAATACATTTTATTTGAGGGGGAATGTTAGGCCAAATAATTATTGGGAGACAGTTCTCCATGAATGTCTCAGGTGTCTGTGAAGACTGGATCCTCTGCCCAAAGACCTCTAGAGCCAGTTTAGAAATGTGTCCCTATTGTTTCAGGAGAGTGACGCAGAGAGAGGGCTCCCTCCCCACGGTCAGTCCAAGGCAGCAAAGACAAAGATCATACTTTCTCTCCCAGGAGAAGTAAAGATAAAGTCAGTTCCTCTCTCTCTCTCGCTCGTTCTCCTCTTTCTCTCGCCTCAGCAAGGAGGATGGGCAGGTCACCAGCAGCCCTAGATGAGATCAGTTTCCTAAGTCTGGAGTCCCCTGCTGCACCCCAGCCACTCTGTCTGGTCCTTACCACACGGGCCTGCGGAATTAGGGTCCAGGAAACTGATACAGAGTACTGCTTGGGCTGCCCCTCCTGCCATGAATAGCAGACCAGCTTTGTCTCTGACCCAAGATCTGGTGTTTTCTGTTAGTATGTGCATGGCAAATGAACATGTTAGCTTGCCAGTAAATCTCAGAGCCTTCACATTCCTGACTTGACAGTAATGATGACATAGCCCAGGGCTGTCACAGCACTCACAGGCTTTTTGGAGGGCAGTCAAAAATATCTGGCCAGGTGCAATGGCTCACACCTGTAATTCCAGCACTTTGGGAGGCAGAGGGGGGATGCTTGCTTAAGCCCAGGAGTTTGAGACTAGCCTGGGCAACACAGTGACACCTCATCTCTGTAAAAACAAATTTAAAAAGCAAAGAAAAATTCCTCACAGCCTTTTTAAGAACTCCAGCCCCCCAGCTTTGAGGGGATCCTGATGACCAGAAAACGCCCATGCAAAAGAATCACAATGATCACAGGTACTCAAATGCAGCCTCTGGAGTCACAGATTATAACAGAAAGGAGAGCCCTTTTGAAAGGGAACATGTCATAGCAGCTTTCAAATGCTTACTGAGTTTCCCATGGAAAACAGGTAAGGACAGAACTGGGACCCATGAGTAAAATCTACCCGGGGGCACATTTCCCTTCCACTAGAACCCACCAGGGGGCACATTTCCCTTCCACTAGAATTCACCAGAGGAGGCTGAGCGTGGTGGCTCATGCCTGTAATCCCAGCACATTGGGAGGCCGAGGCAGGCAGATCACCTGAGGTCAGGAGTTCCGGACCAGCCTGTTTCTACTAAAAATACAAAAATTAGCCAGGCGTGGTGGTGAGCGCCTGTAATCCCAGCTACTTGGGAGGCTGAGGCAGGAGAATTGCTTGAGCCCAGGTCAGGGAGGTTGCAGTGAGCAGAGAACATGCCAGTGCACTCCAGCCTGGGCAACAGAGTGAGATCTTATCTCAAAAAAACAAAACAACACCAACAACAAGAATTCACCAGGGGACACATTTCTCTTCCACTAGAATTAACCAGGGATCCCTTCTACTAGAATTCAGCAGAAGACACATTTCCTTTCTAGAATTTACCAGGGGGCAAATATCCCTCCTCTAGAATTCACCTGGGGACATATTTCCCTTCCACTAAAACTCACCTGGGGTCCCTTCTACTGGAACTCACTGGGGGGCATATTTCCCCTCTACCTGTGGGTGTGCTAAGTACCAGAGCAGGATGACAAAGGAACTGACTCCTTTGGCTCTCCAGAGTCCCAGTGGTTGGCTGGATTTCAGTGGAGGCTGGACTGCAACTCAGGGGGCATGTTCCAGAGATGAATCAATCTTAGTGGGGAAGGGTAGGTAGATTAGCCAGGCCTCAGTTTCCTTCTGGCCCACCCTACTTGGGAGGCTCTGAGATGTCTGTTCCATGCAGATATGCGACACACTGGTGACACCGTGAGGAACACAGAGATGAACAAAAGGAAGACCCTTCCCTCCAACAGCTTAGCACCCATTGGGAAGATGCAGCCCACCCAGCCTAACCAGGGTGGGACAGGAGAAAAGGATGGTCCCTTATCCGTGCTGAAAAAGGAGATGCGAAATTCCCAATGCGACTCGCGGAAACTCACTTAACAATGAGGATGACGACCACTATGTGGAACAAGATGAAATACAGCTTTGCAGCCTGGTGAGTCACCAGGGCAAAGCCGTTTGCAAGGAGTAGGAAGTTAAGGAACCAGGTCTTTGAGAAACTCCACGCGTCCCCTGAGCTCCAAGAGGCCAAGAGGTAATCCTCTTCTGTGGTAACCCACCTCACCGCAGGCTGCAGACTGCCCCATGGATCTCCACCTTCTCAGAAAGGATATCGTGCCACTGGTTAACCACCGTGAGCTCCGTCAGCACTGTGAACGCAGAGGCCAAGTCATTGAAATTGTTCTTGCAGTATCTGCCTCGGGCAAATGCAGAGCCCTGTAAGGCTGGGTTCCCACACACCAGGGCGTCCGGAGCAGTGAAATTCGGATCAAAGAACTGAACTTTGCCATGGAACACTTCCATCCCGACGATGGCAAAGACATAGTAGACCACCTAGGAGGGGAGACACCGGGTCACCAGCAGGCTCTTAGGCTGCAGAGGAGCGGGCAGAAGCAATGGGAAGAACTGTAGGCTCAGCCAGTCATGCTGCAGGGCCTGGCAGAAAGGGGACTGCTGGTTTATTGCCAGGGAGGGTCACCATCCCCAGTCAGGAGTTCCAAGCAGCCGGAAGGGGGTGGGCAGGGGCTGGCTACTCAGCCAGTCTGCTAGGAAGCCTGAGCCATTTGCAGAGGGACAGAGGACATGACCAGCTGGGCCACACCTTGACCTCCCCAGGGTTCACTTAAAAAGTCGAAAACGAAGCTCCGAGCAAGTTAGTGGGTCAAACATTCAAAAAAGTAATAGTCCTCTAGGAGAAAAAAAGTAATAAAGGTCAATCTTTACTTTGTTCTTTATACTAAAACAAATTTCAAAATAAATAACCAAAGAGTTAGATGTAAACACACCAAAAACCCCATACATGTATTATTTTAAAAAATTGAGTAGAAAAAGACCAGGCCAGGCCCAGTGGCTCATGTCTGTAATCCCAGCACTTTGGGAGGCCGAGGCAGGCAGATCATGAAGTCAGGAGTTCGAGACCAGCCTGGCCAACATGCTGAAACCCTGTCTCTACTAAAATACAAAAACTTAGCCAGGCGTGGTGGTGCGTGCCTGTAATCAGCTAGTCTCGAGGCTGAGGCTAGAGAATCGCTTGAATTCAGGAGGCGGTGGTTGTGGTGAGTGGAGATCATGCTGTTGCACTGCAGCCTGGGTGACGGAGCAAGACTCCATCTCATAAAAAAAAGAAAAAAAAAAAAGTAAAAGACCTTATTGAGCATGATTTAAAACCTAGAAATGATAAAGATTGACAAGTATGACATATATGATAAATCTAAACTTTTATATACCCCAAAACCAAACCAAAACAAAAAGCCTTTATGTCAAAAAGGAAAAAAAGGTGGCAGACAAGGAAAAAGGAAAAATAATTGCTCTTACAGCCTACCAAGGGCCTATTTCCTTAATAGGCCTAAGGCATATTGTATTGAAAATTAAACAGAAGAACAGAACAAGGATGAGAGCAGGCTGTTTACTGAAAAATAAGCATAAATGGTAAAAAGAACAGGGAAAAGATGCTCAGCCTCATGAATAACTAAACAAACGCAGTAAAAAAATGATACAATGCTGCTTCATCACCAATCAGACTGGGAAAAAAAAATGGAAACGTTTAATAACCCCCAGTGGTGAGGGGTGCAAAGAAACAGATGCTGTGGTATACTGCAGCTGGAATGCAAATGGGAGCTTGTCTTTTGGAAGCCAGGTTGCCATTATAGACCCAAATTTTGAACCCATTTAACCTTTGGCTAGCAGTTCCACTTCTGGAAATGTATCCAATAGATATACTCATATAAGCCCACAAAGATGCATGCACTAGGATAGTCTTTACTACATAATTTGTGATGGCAAGAAGGTGAGACCCTTCAGTGGCCTGTCAGCAGCAGGGCTGGGCAGATGCATTCTTCCCTCAATAGAACACGTTTAATCATGGCAGAGCTTACCTGCAGGCACGCGCCTCCCAGAACACAGGACAAAAGTATTCAGTAGAAGAAAGTCGTACAACAATATTTCGAATGCATTATCCCACTTGACTAAGGAAAAACTGGATACTTACAGGCATGCATGGGATAGACTCATATATGCTGAAATATTTAGGAAGAGTAATAAGAAACACCTAATAATGGTTGCCTCTGGGAAAGTGCCATGTCGGGGGTGGGCATGGGCAATTCACAATCGACCTTTCATTCTTCTGTGCTAAAGGAATTTTTTTTACCATTATCAATAAAAAGAACAATAAGTGCCCTGTTGCAGCCTCCGCCGCATCCACATGAACCACTCCAGAGCGGGAGGCCCCTGGTCCCTGTGCAAGCTTCTACTGCCTCTTTGTCGCCACTGGGGACCTCAAGGAGCAGGTGGGCCCTCTCCACACGGGGGTGAGGAAGACTCTCACTGGCACTCCCTGAAAGGAAGCTGGCTCTTAAACCTACATCCTTAAGAACCTACAGGCTTACCGGCTAGCCAGGAATAGCCACCTGGACTGTGGGTGAGAAAGAAACGACGACTGGGTCAGCCCACTGGGTTGTTGTTTACTGCAGCAGCCAGTGTACCTAACTGGCATGTGCCCAATGTTTCTAGAAACTTCATATTGCTTAAGAATGGCTACTGGAAACAATACATTACATTTACCTATTTTCCCTTTCTTCCTCTCCCTTAAAATAAGGCTGAGAGTTGCCACGAATGAACATCTCACCACTTTTGTCACGTCGGATAGCAACGAGAGCAGGTACTCACAAAGACAAGTCCGCCAAATGTCAGCATCGCAGGCCCGATGTTGATGAGCGTGGTCACTATAACCCGGAATCTAGGGCAAAACAAAGTCACCAACACAAGGCAAAAGGGAAGGTGGGAGGTAAAACTCACACCCCACCGGCGTGTTCCCCTCCACACCTTTCCCCAGGCCTGAATCTGGTCTTTAAATGTCATCAGGAATTGCCTTTGTAGCTGTGTCAGCATTGGTCCACCCACCAAGCTAACAGGGAGTTAATTGGCAGCTTCTCCTGAAGCAAAGCAAGGCAGGCAGGACCAAAGCAAGAAAGGTAGTCCCAGAGAAACTCACCAGGAAGACACAGTGTTGAGGCAGGAAAAGGATTTAGCCTCATCTGTTTTTCTCCATCCAGATCCAGCCTGTTTTAAGGCTGTCCTGGAGGTTTATGCTGACAATTGAACACCTTCTGGAGGAGTATGCCTGTCCTCGGAGGCAGCCATCTCCCTAGCACTCCCTGGAAGAACTCTGGTCTATCGAACACCGAGGGCAGGGTTTACCTGGGCTTTGGGGTCAGACTCCTGGGTTTGCATCCTGATCTGCCTCTTTCTAGCTGTGTACTATGGGGAGAGTTACTTAACCTCTCTGAGCTTGTGTCATCACCTGTAAACTAGGGATAATAAACCTAGAGATATCAGGGATCACAGGTAGGATTCAATAAGACAACGGTTAGCCCGCTTGAGTTAGCACTAGCTGCATCATGATAACTCTTATTTAGTCACCATGCAGGCAGGCACAGTTCAGGCCAGTCACAAGGATGACAGTGACCGTTACAATCCCTGCCCTCAGGTGCTCCTTACCCATCTTCATCAGCTTCCCTCCCCACAACCATGCACCCCAGAGAACCCCAACAACTTACATCCTGGACTCATAATTGGGCACATCCTGGATTCATAATTGGGCAAATTTATAGTAAGCAGACTAGAGTGCTTTCCACCAGGCCCAATGTGGGACCCCCTCAAGTGTAGCCATTGCTCACCACTTCCACTTTACCTCCGAATGCTGACGATGACCCTTAGGAGCCGGAGTATTCTCAATATCAAGACAATATCCAGTATCTGCTGACTGTTATATTCTCTGGCTGGAAAAGGAACACAATCGTTTAACATTCCAATTTCTCAGAGCCTTTGGCTTATTCCTTTTATGCAGTGAGGTCTGTGGCTCTGTGAGTACCAGGGAGGATGCAGCTTCACTTCAAGGATAGACAATGGCTGTGAGCAATGGAGAAGGAAGTGCTGCCCGGACACCTTAACTACTTCTGTGCATCAGAGCCAGGGGCCGGCTTTAAAGAGATGACCATGTGAGCATTTGGTGTGATGGATGCTTACAAACAAAATCTCTAAAATACAGCTAAACACAAATGAAGCCACCATTGTCCAAAGAACATGCAACATTTTAAATAATTATCTTATGTCCCCTTTTCCTCTCTCCAAACATCTTAACAGTACGCAGTGGGTGTTCAACAGACTGATAAAACGTTCAATAGATTGAATGCAGGATTCCCATCCCAGGAGGTAGTGAAGCTGAGAGCTGGTGGCACTGACCTGACTGAATGGTGGCGTTGGCCACAGTGGCCACCAGGGCAGCAATGATGATCAATGTGTCAAACCTAACGGTGCAAAAGCAAAGTCAGTTATGAATCAAGAGAAAGGCCTGTCAGGTTTCGGACATGATGAATTCTGGGAAAACTTCCAATCCAGTATCATATGCAATGCAATGTTTCAGCCATGAAACTGATTTCCATCATTTTTAAGATGGTGGATATGAAGCAAGAAACACTGTTTGAGCAACCTAATGAGATTCCCTTGACTGCTCCAAAGAACCACCCATGGGCATCTATAGAAATCAGCTAGTTCATATATCATAGTAATCATCTTCCAAAATAGTCTAATCTGTAAGAATACTTTGACACATTTTCAGAACACACAGTACAATCTTTCTTGGCATTAATTTTACTAAACACATTGTAACTTTTTAATTGAAAAGGAAATCCATCACTTGTTACTCTTCTAACAACTGTGCCAAAGGACAACAAAATATTGGACAATATTAACCCATTCCCCTTTGGCCATATGCGCACCATAATAGTTTCCTGGCCCTTAGAGCAGTGTCAGGCCTGCATTTGTGTCTCTGTGTCCCACAGGGCCTGACACACAGTCAGGCAATTTGCAGCATGTGCAAGATGGTTCCAGACTGGGGGTAGGCAGTCTGGGAAAGAAATAGCCCACAGGGAAATATATCTCCCACCCAGGGAAGAGCTTACTAACAGTGCTCATTGTAAGTGGGCCAAGGGATCAATGGAAGGAACTGCCTTGTTGGGCATGATGTTCTGAGACTGTAATAATAAGAAATATATATTTAGTCTTCACCAGTATACTTAGTTCCTGGCGAGAGCTTGGAAATCCTTGTAATTTTCCAAGTCATAAGAGTATATCATGGACTTTTACGTAGCCATAAAGAAGGATGAAATCATGTCCTTTGCAGCAGCATGGATGGAGCTGGAGGCCATAATCCTGAGTGAACTAATACAGGAATAGAAAGCTAAATACTGCATGTTCTTACAAGTGGGAGCTAAATATTGAGCACACATGGACATAAACATGGGAGCAACAGACTCCGTGGACAACCGTGGAGCAGGGTGTAGCTTGAAAAACTACCTATTGGGTACCATGCTCACTACCTGAGTGCACTATACCCATGTAACAAACCTGCACATGTATCCCAGTATCTAAAATAAAAACTGAAATAAAAAAAAAAAAAGTAGGCTGGGTGCAGTGGCTCATGCCTGTAATCCCAGTACTTTAGGAGGCTGAGGTGGGAGGATCACTTGAGTTGAACAGTTCAAGACCAGCCTGGGCAACATGGCAAAACCTGTTTCTACAAAAAATACAAAAATTAGCCAGCCATGGTGGCATGTGCCAGTGGTTCCAGCTACTCGGGACGCCAAGGTGGGAGGAGTGCTTGAGCCTGGGAGGTCAAGGCTGCAGCGAGCTGAGATCACACCACTACACTCCAGCCTGGGTGACCCAGTAACACCCTCTCTCAAAAGAAATAAAGAAGTAATAAAGGTGAAAGGAGAATCTCGTAATTCATAACAAGCACCTTTCAGCCCCACCTGAGTTTAGGTTAATGAAGAACCTTTGGAAAGCCCTTAGGGATGGGGTTTGTTGCCAGGGGAACTACCATGTGATTAGACAGTTGGGACTTTCAGCTCCAACCCTTCCCCAACTCCCAATCTTTTTGGAAGGGGAGGAGCTAAAGGTTGAGGTGATTGTCAATGGCCAGAGACAGAATCAATCATGCATATATTATGAAACCTCTATGAAAACCCCCAAGGATGGTGTTGGGAGAACTTCTGGGTTGGTGAACACACGGAGGTGCTGAGAAGGTGGTGTGCAGGGAGAGGGCATGGAAGATCCGCTTCCCTCCCCCACAGCTTGCCCCTATAATCTCTTCCATTAGCTATGCCTGAGTTGTAATCTTCTACAATAAACCAGAAATCCAGTAAGCAAACTGTGTTCCTGAATTTTGTGAGCTGCTTAGCAAATTATCAAGCCTGAGAAGAAGACAATGGGAACCTCGGATTTATAGCTGTTCAGTCAGAAGTGCTGGCTTGTGCCTGGCCTCTGAAGTGCAGGTGGCCTGTGGGACTGAGCCTCAACCTTTGGGATCTGACAGTAACTCCAGATAGGTAGTGTTGGAATTGGATTAACTTGTAGGACACACACTTGGTGTCCATAGAGTTGGGCAATTGGTGTGTGTGAGGAAGAAAATGAACATATTTGGTGTCAAATACTGTGAAAGAGTAGAAGAGGACATTTTCCTTTTTTTTTTTAATTTTATTTTATTGCTTTTTAGGTTTTGGGGTACATGTAAGAACATGCAGGATTGTTGCATAGGTACATGCATGGCAATGTGGTTTGCTGCCTTCCTCCCCATCACCTATATCTGGCATTTCTCCCGATGTTACCCCTCTGCACCACTGCACCCTCTGCTGTCCCTCCCTTAGTTCCCCCCACAGACCCCAGTGTGTGATGCTCCCCTCCCTGTGTCCATGTGTTCTCATTGTTCAACACCCACCTATGAGTGAGAACATGCGGTTTTTGATTTTCTGTTGTGTCAGTTTGCTGAGAATGATGGTTTCCAGATTCATCCGTGTCCCTACAAAGGACACAAACTCATTGTTTTTTATGGCTGCATAGTATTCCATGGTGCATATGTGCACATTTTCCCTAGCTTTCCTTTTTTTAAAAGATCCTTTCCAAATTCAAGATGCCATGATCTGTGATTCTAATTTTAGCTAAAGTCAGTTAAAACTGACATCACGAATAATAGTTTTTACTGAACCAGAGGTTCAGGATCTTATAAGATGCCTCCAAACTGGGCAGATGGAGCTTGGTGAAGGGCAGCCATATTTCCAAAAATGTGGCAGGAAATCCCCTTTCGCCCCCACACCAACTCTCCCCTCCCCAGAACACAATCTCACCAGTTCCAGAACTGCTTCCTTTCAAAATAGGCTTTGGGGTCATACGTGTACAGCTTCAGGAGGATCTCAATGATGTAGAGAGACAGGAAAAGCCATTCTGCATAGGAAATGAGGGAGTTTTTCTCATCCAGAGCAATGAATATGGCATTTATTAGAATGATGACATCAAAAACCCAGACAAAAATCCTGGCATGAGAAAAAAAAAAAAAAAAAAGAAGAGAGAGATCACGTCATGCTGCATTTCAGTAAGAGGAACATGAGGCTGTTCACGGGGGCTATTCTGTTTCCTGGCACCACACACACTCCTCATCTATGGAAGTTTCCAGTGGGGCTGGGCCCTTACATGCACCTGCCTCCTGCTGCCCCTGATGCAGGCTTTCTCTCCAAGAAAAAAATGAGGACAGAGTGAGGAGAGACAAGAAAGCCATGGTTTTCCAAGGTGCCCTTTTGGGAATAGAGCATCTGGATCCAATGAAAGCTTAGGCAGAATCAGGCAGCAGGGAGGAGGTTGAGGGTTCAGCACAGGATCGTCACAACCCTACTACTCACCCCTGGAAACTTAACATCCTTAACTAAGAAAGCTTCTGAAAACCTCTTTACCCTTAACACACACAGGCCTTCCAGGAGATTGGCATGTTCATCTTCCTCACCAAGTTCAGAGGGAAAATGGGTGAAAAGCATATGACAGCTGGGCTGGACTCAGCTTTTCAGCTCCCAGGCTGGCAGAGCAGTGGCTCAGGGAATGCTGGGTAAGCTGGGCATGGCTCTGGGAAGACTGAGGAGGGACTAGCCCAGTGTTCTCTGTGATGCCTCTACTCCAGGGCCAAACACTTCGGGCTGCACATGGAGAAGCCAATCTCCACCACGTGAAGCACAATGATAGATCAGTGTTGGAGTTCAACAGTGGGATTGACAGAAGAGAGTCTCTCCATGTAGGGCTTTGACAAAGAGAAGGCAGGTCAGCTAAAAGGAATATTCACCTACTTCCTGGGCTGAGCTACATGCAAGGGCTTCTGAACCATACACTTTTGTGAAACATTAAATTCAAAGAAAGTACATTCTGTAGAATTGGCATAGCAGATTCCTCTGTTTTTAAAGCAGCTTGAGAGAAAACTGCCCCCATCTCACTTGCCTGTGCCGAACCATTTTCTGGACCAAGAGGCTTGCAGATGACTGGTACACTCGCGGCATCCAGGCTTCCAGCGGATGTCTCTTGATGCTGATGGTGACCACGTGGATGTTGAGGAGGTCAGCCAGTCGTAGAAAGTTCATTTTGTCTGTAATGGAAAAATGACCCTAATATCCATGGCCACGATAACATGAAGGTCCAAAGGGTGAAGCCAAGTCAGCACAGACTCTTGGATCCACATTTCACAGGTAGAGATCTGAAGCCCTAAAGGGTGAAGACTCAAGGCCAAGGAGCCAGCAAGAGGCAGAGACATGGAGAGAGGCAGAGCCAGTGAACGGCACTGCCAGCCTGCAATCCCCCGGCCCTCCTGCCTGCCCTTCCTCAGACCCCTCTGCCAATCCCAAGTAGCCGAAAGTGACTGTGCTCATTTGCAGAAACCACACCTCACACCCTGCCTTCCACCCTGCATTTCTCTTCCCATGGGCCATCGCTGCTTTCAGTGTCTGCCCTGACCTACCATTCTAGCCTCAGCTCCGCTTACCCTTTCTCTCCATGTAGTTTCCAAAGTATGTGTGATCCATACCCTTGAATTTGAGCCCCTCCCTTCTATTCTGCACGCCCTCTCTCCCTGCCCTCTTCTCAGGGATTCACTCAAACTCATAGCTTCCAAGGTGAGCTCACTCACCACCCAGGCCAAAGCACAATGGGTGCTTTCTTGACTGACTTAGACCCAGCTGACTGATGAACTGATGCTCTCTCCACACCTGCTGAATGCCCGGGGCCAAGAGGCTATGCTCCACTACCCCATGTATCTCTCTCTCATCAGTGGGGTCACTGGGCTGTTTCCCAACTGTTTATGCATGAACTTCTGGAACTATGTATAGCTTAAATAGTACATCAGTGGATGAAATCAGAATGTGCAGAGTGTTTCTGCTTCTTTGAAAACTAAGTTGAATGCTTTGGAACCTCCAAAGGAAGTTGCTGAAATAAACTGCAGTTGCTGAAATAAACTGCAGGTGCAAATCAGGTGTAGCTGAGAGCACAGTGAAAGACTGGGGCAAGAGTTTTAAAAACCTAGAAAGTGGAGCATGCCTGGCAGATACCCAGGTCTCCACTTCAGTTTTCAGAAGTAAAAAAAAGAATCATCGTTCTACAGGGGGGCACACATTAAACACTCTTGTTGCTGTTTCCCTCAATGCCATATAGTGCTAAGAACATGAAAGCATATGCATCCATCAAGTTGGATGAAAAACATCCTTAGGTATCTTAGCATCTGTCAAGTTTCCAGATCTTTAGAGTATTTACCTACTTCCTAGACTGAGCTACTTGCAAGGGCTTTTGAACCACACACTTAACGACCAAAGACATTTAAAGCCCATTCAGGGAGAAGTGCAGCCTCAGGGAATTAGACGAAGTGCATAACCTGGATCCAGGGAACTGGGCTACCTGAAGCTCCACCATCAGAGCTTATGGAGATGCTGAGATGACAACCATAACTAGGATTCAGGGTGAACTGGCGAGGTCACTGACGAGGAATCCAGCCCAAACCCTTACCATTAAGCAACCTCAATCAACAAGGGAGATCCCACCAATGTCACTGGAGTCACATCGTTTAATGCAGAAGATTCAGTAGAGCAAGAAAGATGGAAGAAATTCAAAACCATAGTAATTTTGTGTTAAGAAAGAATTTGTACTCAATTGCAACTTTACTTTGTAACTCTTTCTATAAAGGGCCCGAGAGTAAATGTTTTAAGCTTCCCAGGCCGCAGAGTCTCTGTCACAACTACTCAACTCTGCCATTATACATGAAAGCAGCCAGAGACTATATGTAAAGGAACAAGCATGGCTCTATTCCAATAAAACTCAATTTAAAAACTAGCAGCAGACCATAGTGGGCCTGTGGACCACAATCTGCCAACCCTTGTTGTAAATACCACATTATCTGCCTCATATTCTCTTTGTTAATGGTTCTATTCAGTCCTTTTCTTTCTGTACTAGTAAGTTTTGTATTTCTCAGTTAACACTAGATTTAACACTTTCAGTACTATCAGAATTTCAGGGTTGGTGAACTATCGGTACTATCCTTGGTGACCACAAGTCCTTGCAACTGCTGATCAAGGGGAAAAGTGGGAATGTTCACAAATGTCTGAACAGTGTTGAGACCATTGTGAAGCATATAATTCTGTTTTCCCATTTGGCTTTCTGTTTCTAAGACTATCTTTGCAAGTGTTACTTGAGCAAAGAAATCTCTTGGGGCATTCCAGACAGCAGAAATCACTATGTTCTGTGAAATATAATCTAGGATTTACCAAAGCCAACCAATCTGACTAGCTGTCTTTCTCTTTCTTTTTTTTTTCTTTTTTCTTTCAGATAGAATCTTCCTCTGCCACCAGGCTGACCCCTTGGGCTCAATCGATTCCCCCATCACAGCCTCCTGAGTAGCTGAGATTAGAGGTACGTGACACCACACCCAGCAGCTTCGTATTTTTGTAGAGACAGACCACGTTGCCCAGACTGGTCTTGATCTCCTGGGCTCAGGTGATCCTTCTACCTAGGCCTCTCAAAGTCCTAAGATTACAGGCATGAGCCACCACACCCAGCCTGTCTTTCTTAAAAACATGTTTTCCTGGTAATAATATTTAAATGGACACTGCTATTTTTTAGAAGGTAAGGTACTAGAGAAATGGGTTAAACCATGGTCTCACTGGACTTTTTTCTTACCACATTTATGGAGCTTCAATAAAATCTATGACTCTGGTAGATTCCTTTATTCAAACTAGATGAATTTTGTTCTCATTTAATTTACAAATAGGACCACAACTCAGGTAACAAAACTAAGCAGGGCTAAGGGCTGAGGACCCAGCTACCTTGATGACTTCAATTATGAACTAGCAACTGGAGGTCAGGGTAATCGTGGGGAGTTGTGTGTTTCAGGGGGCACCTGCCTTCTCTGATGTCCTAAACCAAGCACTTCTCAAAGGGTCACTGCTGGAATGGTGCTGGTCAATCCTAGTGCTCCCCACCCTCTATAACATAAGTACTAAAATTTAGGACCTTGTAGAGCAATTGACAGGGTAATTTCATGCCTGCTGGATCTAATCATGAAAACCCGAGATTTGTATTTTGTGTGTCATGTATGTGTTACTGACTTACTGTATTCTATTAAAGTCTCTACCAATGACAGATTGGAAATAAAAAAGCTTCAGCACACAGTTTGAAAAGTGCTGTGCTCCAGGGTTGCCTGATGAGGCACCCTTCCTCTCCCTTCCCCGCCATCAGCAGAGCAATCACACACTCCATGGCAGCTGTCCCTAGCAGGAGTCACTGCCTGTTCCTAGCAGCGGGTGGCACAAAGGAATCTGCTCAGGGTCTGAGAAGCCTGACCATCTGAGCAGACACTCTGCACTGTGACATTGAACCATGTGGCTGAGGAGATGCTGCTTGGGCTCCTGCAAAGACCTTCTTCCATGGGTACAAAGAGAATAGACAGAATGACTACGACCTACTATTTGATAGCTCAACAGGGTGACTAAAGTCAATAATAACTTAATTGTATTTTAAAATTGTGTATTTTAAAATAAATAACTTAAAGAATGTAATTGGATTGTTTGTAACTCAAAGGATAAATGCTTGAGGCGATGGGTACCGCATTCTCCATGATGCACTTATTTCACGTTGCATACCTGTATCAAAACATCTCACGTACCCTGTAAATATATACACCTAGTATGTATCCGCAAACAATATTTTAAAATAATTAAAAAATGTTTTTTTAAAAAAAGCCTTCTTCCATCCTGGATCCAAAGCTATTACTGGAAGATGCTGGCACCGACCATGTAATAGTGTCTTGCTGTGCATGTCTCTTTCCTTCTGAACACCAGATTCAAGTAAGTCCCAGAGAATCTTTGCCACCTTCACAAACAGGCATGGAGAGGTAATAAGGCCCACAGCTCTGTGGGACTAGTTTGAGAGTTCTTGTCTCCCTTAAGTGAACAGTTGCTTACAATCTCGCCATCCTATCAAACCCGCCACTCCATTTGGGTGTGTTCCGATCTCGACTTTCTTAAAACTGGTGAAATGGGAGTGATCTGCAGTTGGGGCGTATTAACACCTCACCTTCCCCGCATTCCTACCTCATCTTCATGGTCATTTTTAATGCTATCAGATTTTCTTATTAAATGACCATCACAATTTGGAGCAGTTGAGCACAAGGATAAAAAGCGCAAGCCTTGGAGCCAGATGGCCTCTGTCACTTTGCAGCTGTGTGGCCTTGGACAAATGAATGAACCTCTTTGAGTGTGTTTCCATATTGACAAATGAAGATAACAAAAACACTTCAGTGTGCTTGGGGGAAGATTACACTAGCTCAATGCATGGAGAACTATAACAATGCCTCACACATGACAAGCATGCCACCAATACGAAGCATCTTAATAACGGCTATCAACCATGAACATGTACACCATCTTCAACTTTTCGCCTTAAAATGCAAAATGCAAACTGAACATCTATGTATGTATCTCTTTTCCATATTTCAGAATACTTCCCTAAAGCACAACTGCAGAAGTGGAAGGACCGTGTCCACCAGGTAAGGGCTCTGGGATGGCATGGCCTGCTGACACCTGCTTGTGGCCATGTACACTAGGACAGGGCAGTCAGAGCACAGCCTGAGGTTGTTAACTCCATGGCATTCTTGCCAGCAGGTGCATATTTTTATGTGCTAAGCTAAATACATTTTAAAACATGCTATTGCTTTACCCATCATTTTGTGAAGCCCAGTTTCAGAGCGCACAGGGAAGAGGACGGTCAGAGGCGAAGTCTTCTTACCCACATGCCCTTTCTGTCCCTCGTCAGAGATCCTCAGGAGAAGCTCCAGGTGGGCGCTGCTCATGTCTGGTGCCACCACCTGTGCCAGCCGCCTCCACTGAGCCTCCTCGACCACAAAGTCAGTGCCCACCTTGACTTTCAGAACGTTGAATGCTGCTATCATTTTGTGACGTTTCAGGTATGCCAGTTTGCGAATTTCATTCTTAAAAAAACAGAATTGTGTGTTTTTAAGAGAAAGATCCAAGAGGGCATCACTTTCTTACTCCAATATTTTAAGGTATTCAAAAAGCTGAAGAGACATCACTGATAGGTAGGCTGATACACAAGGTAAATGACACCTCCCAGCTTCAGGAGTATTTACCTAGCCCCACTCTGCATCAACAGAACTCATCTTACCAAGCTGAAATGAGGGAGCCCGGGAAAGAAAGTCTGTGCAGTGAGAAATAGAGTGGCAGGAGGCAGCTGGTTCGCAGCTCCACCCTGCCCAGAAGGAGGGGAGATTCCAGAAAGGAAGGAAATTAGATGTGCTGTTGAGAGGAGAGAGAGAGAAACCCAGCTAGAAGGTAAAGAGAGATACAGCATGCAGTCCATCGAGAAAGAGGATGAAGAGGAGAGAATTCAGGGAAGTGAAACTAGGCCAGATGTGGTTTGGGGCCGGAAAGGCCTGCCTGGAGCTGCCATCTGGCCTGGCCACAGGGAATCCTGTGGAAGGGGGGAGGCTCTGCAGCCCTCTTCAGGGCTGTCCAGCTACCATGCCCATCTCCACTGCCCCTGTTAGTCTCTTGCCCACTATCATGGCTTCATTGATGACATAGCTAGACTGTAAATTCCTAAAGGGAAGGGCTGGGTCCTCACCATCGTTGTGGTTCCTCAGGACCTGGCATGGTGTCTGGCGCATGCAGCATGTCTAAAATATGTTTGCTGACTGAGGCATGTTGCAGAAATTTTCCTAGGGGTGTTCCTTGGGTTTGGGAGGGGCATAGTAACAGTTGTGTTCACAGTGAGGGAGAGGAGAGGTGCACCAGACTCTCTGGAATGGCCTCTCCTGCCAGAGAGAGGAAGAGGTCAGAGGAGGCCTGGATTTGGGGTGAGGAGGAGCTGAGGTTCCTTCTGCACAGAGACTCCTTGGGACCCGGGTAGAGCCAGACACCTTCAAAGGCCAGACTGACCCAATCTCAGACTTTCCCCACCATCCCCTTCTCTTGAACTGCATTGAAGTTTGCCTGACTTCTTGCTTGACCCCAAGCGGAAACTCCATTAGCAAGGAAGCATTCAAAACAGAACTAGAAGGCCAAAAGCCCTAAGGTTTGTCTTTCCTTAGGGAAAATCACCCTCAGAAGAAAGACTTCTCTTTGCAATGAGTTTTACAATAAAGGAAACAGACACCCAAATGTCTGTGCTGGTAAGTGGCAGTGGACAGAGGGTGGATGAGATGGCCGACGTGTCCTCGGGGGATTCCTGGGTGCAAATCAAACCTCCTTCTACCCCAAGCACCCACTCAACCTTTCCAGGAATTCTCCAGACATCGGTCAGGCAGGCAGGAACCAGGGCAGGAACTGTGGCTTTAAGAAGTTTCTTCTGTTTGAAGGGAGAAAAGAGCTAGAAGCTTAGAGAATATCCTCAGCCCAAATCACACTCAGAATGTATCTAGGAGCCACGAGCTATTTGATGCATCAAGAGCAAGGAGCAAAGTAGCACCTGACATTCCCCATGAAGGGGCCAGTGCCCAGGCCAGGTCCTCTGTCTTGTGGATCTCCAGAGACACACTGTTACAACCATCACAAAGATGGAAGAGCTGCCCCACTCAGCAGAAGGAAGCAAGGCATTAGGTTTTTGGGTTCATCAAAGTAAGTAGATCAAGGACACTTTCAAATATTTAACAAATGCATTCACTGGCCTCCCAGTCACTGCACCCACGCACACCCCACACACCCCACCCCAGCCCTCAGCTCACGCCTGTTACCTTTAAGTGCTTCCTATAATTGTTGTACACCACGGCCAGAAAGACAGACATGAAGATGTAGGTATTGATGATAATGTAGATTATAAAGTACAAAGAATACCACCAGTTGAAGTCATAGGCAGGCATCCTAGAAGAAAATAATTATGTTTCATGGTTTTCCATACCTTAGTTCCACAATGCATATAAGGCTGACCTTAAGCAACATCCCACATGCACAGTCCATGTGCATGAGGCACCAGAAAGCCCCCTCTAACACTCTCTCTCCCCCACAGGGTGCGATGGGGGCCGCAGAGCCATCAACATCCCTAATGCTGAACAGTTTGCTTCACACCTGCCTTTCTGAAATTCTTAGCACCTTACAGAGGCACCAATTTTCACAGTGGTAGGACCTTAATGATCTCCCAATTCAGTTTTCTCCCTTCACAATGAGAAAATTGTGGCCTAGAAAGGACAGTGACTTGCTAGGAATTAAAAAGAGAATCAGGAGTGTGGCTGGGAAGAGGGCTGTGCAGTGCAAAGTCAGGGCTCTGTGGGACACCCAACTGCCTTGGCTGGGGGCCACATCATATTCTAACCACCCAGGGACAATACAGGAAAGGTGCCCAGTGATAATCGTGGCAGGGCAAGTTGTGACAGGTGCTCACTCTACCTTTAATGGAAACTGGATTTCCTACAGGAGGGGACATCACAAGGTTCTGGCTAGGCTGTCAGCCAGGGGTCTGAGGAAAGATGCAAGAGAACATAAGACGGGCCAGGGCCAGGCCTAAGCATGAGGAACAACCAAGGACAGTTGAACTGATGATACTATGCATCAGAAGACGACAGAAACCCTGCCTCTCTGAGGTCACTATGGGAGCAGACGTGGCCTGACATTTGCAGTGAGGCTCTCTCACTAGAGAGCTGCCCACTCTCTAGAGCTAGAGAGCTAGCCACTCTATGCAGCACCCCTTAATAACTTTACCCATAAGCATGAGGTAAATCCATAACAAGAAGACATTAGAAAAAACCATGAAGTTCTTCTCCTAAGTAACTTTCACATGTGTGGAGAATTGGCATTTTGCAAGGAAGGCAGCAATTACTGATGTTTACATTTATTTCCTGTTTGATGTAGTCAAAACACTGCATCAACGCTTAGGAGAACCAGCCATGAATCCTTTACAAAGATGGCTCAAGTCTTTAAACTCAAGACTTAAAGAGGATCCCAGAATAGAACATGGGCTCAAATATTAAAAACTGTATCTCAAGATATGTCTCCTGTTCCTTCCTATTTTGAAAGAATTCATTTAAATTTAGTTTTAAGTAGAGAGGATAGGCTATTAGTGGTGTAAAATTTTATATTCTTCAAATCGTTTACAGTGAATAGGACTAAACAGAAAAATCACTCTTTCTTCTCTCTCAGCCCTGCTAGAGTCAGGAGACAGCTGCTTTGAATCATGTGAATTCTGTTTTGGAAACAGATGCCCACGAACATGGATCGAGGATGCACGTACATGACGTCAGGACTGTTTGCTGTAGTGACCAGCACGTAGAGCTCAAATGCTATCTCCAGAATGTTTTCAAAGTAAGGCGATCCCTCTGCTGTTTTCAGACCCCTAAAGAGGAACCAAAAACACAAAGTAAAAACCACACACATAAATTAAGCTGTGGTTTCTGATACACTTTTCCCCTTTCAAGAGCACTCTGCAGTGTTTGAACATGGAAGATTACGTTTGGTGACAGATTGTGCCATGAACAGACTCAACCTAAATATGGGAGAATTCCCAGGCAGAAACTTCCAGAGAAGTGTGCTCACCGATCTCCAAAAAGCTTCAAGGCCATCAGGGAGAACATCAACACACTGAACATGAACAAGAGGAAGACGTAGAGGATATCGGGCAGGGTGTTCCGGAGGCTTCGGAAAGCCCTTCGGATCTATGGAGACAAAATGTTATTTTATTTACAAGAAACCAACTAACTTTCTGCAAAAACAAACCATCACGTATCCTAAATCATATGCTTACCTGACGACTTTCAGGGAAGTTAATTAGGAAGACTGGTCTTAAGGCCCTTGACCATCTGATGCTGCGGACGTTAATAGATTCCAGCGATCCATAGATAATCAGATCGATCAAGGTCAGCTGTGAGAGACACAGGACAGAGATGTCAGTACTACACTGTCCAAGGACAGTGGACGCATGTTTACCAACCCAGGAGAGGCACAATGTTATGTGAAAAAGCAAGTTTCATAGACAGCATAGTTCTACTTTTGTAATATGATATTAATAATAGCCGATGTTGGACATTTTACCATGTTCCCTGTAGCATAACAAGCACCTCTTGTAGATTATTTTATTTTAGACTCACCACACCAATTAGGTGGGCACTATTCCTGGAGGAGGAGGAGCTTGAGGCACAAATAGGGTAAGCACATAGCTCCTGGTCACACAGCTAGCTGAGGGCAGAGCTGGGACTGGAACCCAGGCAGTCTGAGGGCTGAGTCCTTGCTATTAATCACACTGCGAGATCCTTCCCCACTACACCCTATTGACCTTTTCTTCAATTTGACATGTGAAAGAAAGGAAGTATAGCCTAGTAACAGAGATGAGGATATCTAGACTATAGAAAACCCTTATTAATCTTTATTAATGTCAGGTTTATGGGAAAGAGATTAATGTGAAGAATCTAGGGCAAAAGAAGAAACTAGTGTATTTTAGAAAAATATAAGTAAAAAAAGAACAATCTACTATCATCCAAAAAAGTGAATTCAGCCCCTGTGGTGACAAGGCACAGAGGATCTGGTGAACTCCTTCCCGTCAAAGGGCACTCTGCATGAGGTGGAGAGACAGCCAAGAAATGAGGCTGGTTCACAACCGCTGCACTGGAAGGAACCAGTGTGGCTGTCCCAGAGGAGTGGGGACAGGTGGATCATCAAGGGTTAAGATATGTGAGGGGCTTCATGGAGGAGGCACTCTTTGATGTAACCTACAGCACAGCAGAGCTTTAAAAAGAAAAAAAAATCAGGAAGATCAAGAGCTAGACAAGGAAATACAATAAAATGATTGTTGAGGAAATACTAGGCTGGCATGTTTGGGAAGCAGAGGGTCCCGGGAGTAGGGGCAGAGGGAAGCAGCAGAAAGTGACAAGGACCCATGGAGGGTGGCTTTGCAGGCCAGGCTAAAAAGGCAAGTTTCATTCCCAGGGCCTTTCAAATAACAGATGGGGCAAAGGAGTGAGAGGAGAGCCCAGGAGGCTGCATGAATATATCACATTCTACTTACGACATATTTCTTGTGTATTTTGTTAGGAAATAAGGTTGTTTCCAATTTGTCAATATTATAAGCAGTCAGTCACCACCAATTTTGTGGCTAAATCTCAGAATGCATCCTTCTTACCTACAGATAAGGAATGGAAGTCAAGGGTGCAAGTATATTCACCTTCAAGGCTTTTGAAAGGAACTGCCAAACAGCCTTCCAGAAATATAGCTTTATTCATTTCTCCAGCAGGGTGTAAGAACATTTGTTTTATGGCAAAGACATGGAATCAACCTAGGTGCTCATCAGGGGTAGGTTGGGCAAAGAAAATGTGGTACATATACAGCATGGAATACTATGCAGTCATTTAAAAAGAATGAAATATGTCCGTTGCAGTAATATGGATGCAGCCAGAGGCCATCATCCTAAGTGAATTAATAATGGAACAGAAAACCAAATACTGCATATTGTCACTTATAAGTGGGAGCTAAACACTGGGTACTCATGAACACAAAGATGGCAACAGTAGACCCTGGGGACTCCTCAAGGGGTGAGGGGGCAGAGGGAGGAAAGGGTTGAAAAACTACCTGCTGGGTTCTATGCTCACTACCTGGGTGATGGGATCAATCGTACCCCAATCTCACCATCACAAAATATACCTATATAACAAATCTGTCCTTGTACCACCTGAATCTAAAATGAAAATTGAAATTACAAAAAAAGGTTTGTTTTCAGTCTTGCTAACATTGATTTATAGGCCAACACATGGTATTTTATTGTTTTATTCTAGAATTTTTAATTAGTGAAGTAAAACATCTTTTCCAGTCATTTTACATGTTTTTTCTTCATGAGTTGCTTTCACTTATCTTCAGCAAAATTATCTACTGGGATATCTTTTTTTCCTTTAATTGGAAGTGCTCTTGATATGTTGAAATGTCTGCGCTGCCACATTTTGCCATATTTGTTCTTCAGTTTGTGGTTTGCTTGCAGTTTTGCTTATGGTGTTCACTGAATGGAAGTGTTGTTTTATGAAAGGCAAATCTATTGAGTCTTTTTTCTTCATGGCTCCTGCCTCCAGTCATAAACCCTTGTAGGTACCACAATGAACACTCACCACTATGGTTACCATGATGCAGATGTTTTTTGTATCCTTCCAGAAAACCATTTGAGGAGTGATTTTCGCAAAATGTATCAGTCTCCCAAAGAATGCAGTCAGGCAAAGTATTTCTGCTATTGAGGTGGCCTGCAAGGAGAAAACAGAGGCTGAGCACGAGGACTTGCCATGGGGAGGCTCAGCTTTAGTTATCTCGTACCACCTCCAGCCCCTGCCACTACCCTACCTTTCCTGCTTGGTACCCTCTGAGAATTTGCCATGTCCCTTAATTTTACTGAAAATTGCAGCAAAATTTTCTGCCAGTTAGAATTGTTTCTTCCTCCAAAAAGGAAACCTGCCACTGAGTTGCAAATTCCATGACCCATACTGGCAGGGATCCCTGGGAGGAGCTGCACCAGCAAGCTGAGGACCAAGAACATTTTTCCCCAGAAAAGAAGGAGGTCAGAGGCAGGCATCATCTATGCTCTCAAATTCTCCATGTTCAAATTCCAGACACCTAAAAGTCCCATTTTCTAACAGTAAGGTAATTCCCCAAAGATGTGGGAATAATAAGCCCGTCTGTAAACATCACTGCCACTGCAGTCCTGCTGCCTGTATGAGGCTCGTTAGAGATGAGAATGGAGCCCACTGAGATCAAGACTGAAGTCCTGATGGGTCTCCCTCCGTAGATTATGGGAGCCAACTCCAGACTCCTGCACCTGCTAGCCTTGCAGCCGGTGACTGCAGTGTAGGGTTTGCCTGAGGCTGTTGAGATGCAGCAACAGCTCGCTAACAAGGGCATGTTCCTCCATCAATAGGGAGAGACGGGTGGAGGACAGGAAGCGGTGGAGAAAAGGACAACTTAACTTGAGCTAAAAAGAGGGAAAGGTCTTGAGTGAGAGCCAGAGACAGGGAGGAAGGGGCTGGCTCTGGGCCTGAAAGCAGCAGGGGACACAACCCAAAGTTATACATTACCAATAACAGACAGGGAGTGAGGACGCAGGGAAAGAGGCAAATGGCTGAGAAGACCACTCCGTGGGACTCCCACTTTGGCCAGAGTGGACTCTGTCCAGGTTTGTGAATGCACAGCTCTGCTTCTTCAGACTTTGTGTTTGTGTTGACACTTATTGGAATAAATGGCTTCTATCCAGAGAATTAATTAATTGGAGGATCTTTATTGTAAGAAAGTTGGTGGCTGTCACTTTGGCAGCCCCGGTGAGCCATACTTCCAGTTTTCACCCCCTTTGCAGTGCCCTCCCATGTTGACTCAGAGTTTCGGCATGATTAGCATTGGACAACAGGACATCAGCAGGTGTGATGCAAGCAGAGGTGTGATGGTGCAGCACACTGGGATTCTTCTTCCTGGACCCAGCCACCCACTGGGAGAAGCCTAAGCCACGTGGAGCAGCCACGTAGAAGAGAGCCGGGGAACCTGGGGCCACAGCTACAGCCAGCAGCGCCTGGCAGCCATGTGAGAGAGCCACCTTGGTTGTTCTAGCCTCCAGAGATCTAAGAGCTTCCAGACATCTACACCCAGCCCCACCACACAAGCCAATCTCCCACAGAGTCATGGGAGATAATAAAAGGCTGTTGCTCTCTAAAGCTAGGGGTCAGTGAACTCTTTCCATTAAGTGAATACATGAAGCTTTGCAAGTCTTACAGTCTCTGTCACAACCACTAAACTCTGTTGATGTAGCTCCAAAGCAGCCAGAGACAACACATAAATGAATAAGTGTGGCTATGTTCCAATAAAACATTATTTGCAGACAGCAAAATTTGAATTTCATATCATTTCCATGTGTCACAAAATATTATTCTTCTGTGTCTTTTCTTTCCAAGTCATTTTAAAATGTAAAAATCATTTGTCTTAGTCTGATCAGGCTGCTATAACAGAACACCATAGGCTGGGTGGCTCATAACAACAGAAATTTATTTCTCACAGTTCTGGAGCCTGGGAAGTCCAAGATCAAAGCACTGGCAAATTTGGTGTCTGACGAGGGCCCACTTTCTGGCTCACAGACAGCCATCTTTTTGTGGCATTGTCACAAAGCAGAAGGGGCAAGGGGCAAGGGAGCTCCTTGAAGCATCTTCTATGAGGGGACTAATACCATTCATGAAATGGGCTTTACCCCCATGATCACCTCCAAATACCTCCACATTGGGGGCTAGGTTTCAAAATACGAATTTTGGGAAGACACAAGCATTCCGTTTATAGCAACATTCTTAGCTCATAGGCTGTACAAAAATAAGCAGCAGCTGAATTTGGCCCCCAGTCTATGGCTTCCTGACCCTTGTTTTAAGTGTTTGAGTTTTAGGGTGGTTTGTAAATACGTTTGTGCAACTGATAACTGAAACAAGGAAGAATAAAAAAGGGTCTGTGTGTCGTTGTTAAAAAGCAAAAGCTTTGAAATCAGACAGGCTTAGGCTTGAAGCCTAGTTCTGTCTTTGTTGCCTAGTGACCTTGGACAAGTTACACAACCTTTCCAGGCTCAGCTTCCTTCTCTGTTAAGTGAGTGTGATAACAGCAGGCACATCTCATGGAGTTCCTGTAAGGCTTAAGGAGAATACAGAGAAAGCACTGAGAGCACCCAGCAGATAGATAGCAAGCAGGGAGCAAATGATAGCTATTAAGACAGAAGTGAGAGCAATGACGAATCAGAAATCAACATGGGCAGGGCATTGGTCTACTATTTAGACCTCTCTGGATTGGCTGGTGAATTTGATACATTACTCAAAATCAAATGTGATCAGCTCCTAAGCACCAATAATTACTCTAATGATATGACTATGAAAAAAGCTGAAAATGTGATATGTACAAATTGCATATTATACTATATGAGAACATCATCTGCTTAGCAGTAAGTAAATTGGCTTTGAAAATATCATTGAACCATCTCTGATTTTGTGTGTGCTTGCACAGAAGACCAAAATGTCCCATTGTACTTAAAATGCCTTATGAAGGAAGCATCCGCTTGGTGAGTAGACAGAACTCCTCTAACTCCCAGAAAGATAATAACATCTAATTCACATTTGTTAAAATTTGAGGAAAAAAAGGAAGAGGCACAAGGCCCAACTCATCTATGACCGAATCTGGCTTCCATCTGCTATGGCATGCTTACCAAGAAAGGCAGAGGAAACAACGCAGGCTCTTCAAATAGGGCAAGAGCGAGGTCTACACAAATGAAGAAATATGTGGCAACCTGTGTTGTCCAGTGGTTATAAAAATAGTAAAGCCTGCATAGGAAAAAGACAAAGGTGGTTATAAACAAGGAACAGGAGCTACACAGCACCCAAACATCTCTTTAAAGAACTAATGGTGGATAAAATAAGAAAGTTATGTCTTAGTCATATTTCCTTCAAATTCTAGAAAGCAGGAGGCAGTATTTAATGATCACATACTACAAACACTAACACAGAAAAATCAGGAAATGATCATATCTCAAAGCACATTTTCTTAACAGTCTCAGCTAAGATTATACCTTCCCCATGGGGTTGTTGTGATGGTAATAAGGGAATACCAACAGAGGACTTTGAACAGTGATGGACACAGATTAAACTCTCAGTTAAAGTGGCCTATTCTGATGTGGCATGGTGGCCTAACCTGATTTTAAAATGTACATCAGCCTATCTTAACATGATAGACTCAGAAGAGATCTGGCAAGAGGTCATGCTAGTCTCTCCCTAAGTGGGGACAGCACCCCAAACATGCTTGGCAACCTCTGGGAATAAGGTGTCAGCTGCCTTGGGAGGCCCTGATGCTGAGCCCTAGTGATAGACAGGCTGAGACCTGTAGGGGCGATAGAGTAACAGCTGAGTTCCCATAAGAACAGCAGACACATGGATTGCATCAGAAGACAATGGGCAGGAAAAAGAAAAAGGCTTTTCACTTGAGGTAACTCTAAGAGGACGACAATCAAAGGAGAAGACAATGGCATGTTCTTCCCTTGAGTGCACTAGCTTCTATCCTGGGTATTGCTCACTTACTCATCCATCTGATCTTAATCTCTTTATTGAATGCTTCCCTAAGTGTGAGGCCATGCTCTTATAACTCAAAAAAGTATTCAGCCAGGCATGTTGGCTCACATATGTAATCCCAGGTTGTGGTAGAAGGATCGCTTGAGCCCAGTAGTTCAAGGCTACAATGCGCTGTGATCACACCACTAAACTTTAGCCCAGGCAACAAAGCAAGACCCTGCCTCAAAAAGGAAGTATTAGATTATATTCAAATCTATGTGCTGTGCCCTATATGCTTCTGAAAATATCTGTGTAAACAATGCCTTCAGTTTGGGTTCAACTTCAAGAGTATCAAGTGCTGAAGGATAGGTGGTTCTACATGATGTTGTAACATGTTAGTTACCTGATGGCCTGAGGTGACGTTTCAAATGGAACATTTCTGTTGTACTGGGCATCCAAAACATAAGCAGCTGCCAGGAGAAGATCCTGTTCCCCATAGAGAGAGTAAGGGAGACCAAGTCAGAGCAGGAGAGGATATTTTTCTTTTTCCTTTGTAAGTGTGCAGCAAGTATAAAAGAAGCTCCCCTTTGCCTCTCCCCAGGCCCGCTCTCCCAGAGGTAGCCAACATCTAAACAGTGTTGCCTGCACACCTCCGATGTCTCCCTGAGCACAGAGAATCCTGCAGTGGGGCTGGGCCCAGACACTCTCCACTTTCTTGAATTCAAATACAGACTCTCAGAGGAAATGAAAATAAGCATTGACTAGAGCATGTACTTGTACCTAAATGGTATATTCATACATACATATATTCACATATGGTTAAGTACACATATATATTCAAATACAGTCATGTGCCCCATAACATTTTGGTCAACAACGAACCACATACGTAACAAGGGACCCATAAGATTATAATGAGGTGAAAAATTCCTACCATCTAGTGAGTTCATAGCTGTCATAACGTCATAGCATGATAAAATACATGATTGTGGTGATGCTGGTGTCTACAAACCTGCACGGCCAGTGGTATAAAAGTCTAGCACATACGATTATGTATGGTACATTAAATTTGATAATGACAATAAATGATTATATTACTGGTTTATGTATTTAGTATACTTTTTATGGTTATTTTAGAGTGTACTCCTTCTATTTATTAAAAAAGTTAACTGTAAAACAGCCTCAGGCAAGTCCTTCAGGAAGACTCCAGAAGAAGACATTGTCATCCCAGGCGATTACAGCTCCATGAGTGTTATGGCCCCTGAAGACCTTCCAGTGGGATGAGATGTGGAGACAGAAGACAGTGATATTGAGGATCCTGACCCTAAGTAGGCCTAGGCTAATGCCTGTGTTTGTGTCTTAGTTTTCAATAAAGAGTTTAAAAAGTTAAGATTTTTTTAAGTTTAAAAATATTAAAAAGCTTATAGAATAAGGACATAAAGAAAGAAAATGTTTTGTTAGCTATGCAATGTGTTTTAAGCTGCTATTGCAAAAGAATCAAAAAGTTTATACAGTAGAAAATTTATAGTAGGCAAAGGTTAATTTGTTATTGAAGAAAGAAAAATATTTTGTACAAATTTAATATAGTCTAACTGTGCTGTGTTTCTGAAGTCTACAGTAGTGCACAGTAATGTCCAAGGCCCTCACAGGCTCTCACCACTCACTCACTGACTCACCCAGGGCAACTTCCAGTCCTGCAAGCTCCATTCATGGGAAGTGCCCTATTCATTTTTTACCTCTTATATGTATTTTTACTGTACCTTTTCTATGTTGAGATACATGAATACACCATTATGTTACAGTTATCTGCTGTATTCAGTACAGTAATATGTTGTACACGTTTGTAGCCTAGAAAAATAGGCTACAGCCTAGGCGTCTAGTACGTAATGCCATCTGGGTTGGTGTAAGTACACTCTATGATATTTGCACAGTGATGCAATCCCCTAAAGATTTATTTCTCAGATCTTATCCCTGCTGTTAAGTGACACATTACTGTATATATACATATACATACAAACAAATCCGTAACACAAAATTATATACTACATATTTATACTACATTATACATGTATATACATATAAACACAAAATACAAAATTCCTTTTATATTTGCAAGTTTGCCAAAGATGTTGAGCAACTGGAACTCTCATACATTGCTGGTAGGAACAGAAAATGGCATGTTTACTTTGGAAGACAGTTTGGTAGTATCTTAAAATATTAAAAAGTATGACCCAGCCATGCTACTCCTAAGTGTTTACCAAAAGAAAAGACAGCATATGTCCACACAAAGACTAGTACATCCAACCCAAGTATGTGGCTCATGTCAGACACCTCATCCCAAAGCTGCCCATATACACATATGTTCATCCAGCTTAACAGCCCCAAACTAGAAGCCAACAAAATGTCCATGAACAGGTGAGTGAATAAACAAAATATACTGTATCTCTACAATGGAATACTACCCAGCAATAAAAAGGAATGAGCAACTAATAGATGCAATGAAATGGATGACTCTCAAAATAATTGTGCTGAGTGAAAGAAGCCAACCGCCTCCCTAAAAGAGTATTCACTGTATGATTCCATCTGCATAAAACTCTAGAAAATAAAAACTAACCTACACTGACAGAAACCGGATCAGTGATTGTGTGTGGGCAGGGGGAGGAAGACAGGAACAGGCTGGGCATGGTGGCTCATGCCTGTAATCCCAACATTTTGGGAGGCCAAGGGGGGCAAATCACTTGAGGTCAGGAGTTTGAGACTAGCCTGGACAACATGGGGCAACCCTATCTCTACTAAAAATACAAAAACTACGTGGGCATGGTGGCATACACCTCTAATCCAGCCACTCAGGAGGCTGAGGCAGGAGAATAGCTTGAACCTGGGAGGCGGAGATTGCAGTGAGCCGAGATCGTGCCACTGTACTCCAGCCTGGACGACAGAAAGTGACTCCATCTCAAACAAACAAATAAACAAAGAGATAACTAAGAGAGAGAGATTAAAAATAGGCATAAGAAAACATTTAGTGGGCAATTAATATGTTCACGATTCTAATCACGGCATAACTATCACAAAGGTATTTATATATCAAAACTCATCAAGCTGCATACTTCAAATAAATGTAGTTTAGTGTGTATCTATTATAGTTTAAAAAAGCTGTTAAAATGCCCAAAAAGAAAAACAAATCAATGGATTAAAAAATTGATGTGGAACAATCATCTCATAGATGAATTAACTGCTGTAAGAGTCAATTGCTTTTTGAGCAACAGGTATGTTTAGAGCTGGTATTGCAATTCTTAGAGGCAGCTTGTTAAAATCTAAGAAGTACCATATAAATGTGTTTAACACTTATCACACATTTTTCTTTTCTTTTTTTTTTTTCTTTTTGAGATGGAGCTTCACTTTGTCGCCCAGGCTGAAGTGCAGTGGTGGCACAATCTTGGCTTACTGCGACCTCCATCTCACAGGTTCAAGCGATTCTCCTATCTCAGCCACCCAAGTAGCTGGGATTATGGGCACTCACCACCACACCCTGTTAATTTTTGTATTTTTAGTAGAATCAGCATTTCACCATGTTGGCCAGTCTGGTCTTGAACTCCTAACCTCAAGTGACTCACCCATCTTGGTCTCCCAAAGTGCTAAGATTACAGGCATGAGGCACAGCACCCAGCCAAACATTTTTCCTCTACATATTTAAAAAACATTCTAGTAGGAAAACTATTAATATCGATTTTTTTTTTCATTGAACATCTTTAACACTGAGGAAGAGTACAGTTCCCAGGATATGCTTAGAAATATATTTTTGGTAGAAAATGCCTCACATCAACAAAAGTTGGCTTTTTTTTAATGAACACACACGAACGTTAAGAAAATTCCCTTAAGGCTCAAAAAGATCATACTCAAAGAATTCTGATATTGAAGCTTTTTTTTTTTAGATAGAGACTTGCTCTGTAGCCCAGGCTGGAGTGCGGTGGCACAATCTCGGCTCACTGCAACCTCCGCCTCCCGGGTCCTAGTTCAAGCAATTCTCCTACCTCAGCCTCCCAAGTAGCTGGGATTACAGACATGAGCCACCATGCCCAGCTGATTTTTGTATTATTTTGTAGAGGCAGGGTTTCACCATGTTGGCCAGTCTGGTCTTGAACTACTGACCTCGTGATCCGCCCACCTGCCAAAGTTCTGGGATTACAGGCATGAGCCACGGTGCCCTGCCGATATTGAGGCTTTTTAAAAAATATTTATGGCAAAATCTTTTAAGGCCACTGTTGTCCCAAATTTAAAAGATGATGCTGCGAACATCTTTATAGTCCCAGTGAGGCAATTTGTCCACAAACTTAAGCAGTTAACACTCATGGATTTGAGATGCATCCTTCATATGCCTTCCAGGTAGAGAATGGAAAAAAACACTCACCAGCAATGCCCCAGCCAGTCAGGCCCTGGGGGTCATCTCCATGAAATAGACCCCAGACATTGAATGACAAGTACCACATCACCCCACCAACTGCCATCTGAACTCATCCCTGCTGTTTTAAAATCTGCTGATTCTTTCATATTAGCCACTTCACCTTTACAATAACGTTTCAAAGGTTTCCCATTTTTAACTAGTATTACATTTCTGACATCGATCGCCTTTTAAAATCTCATCTACTTTATGTTTTGGTTCTAATTGCCTTCCCTCTCCTCCTCCCTCCCATTTGTGTGCAACTTCTAAGTGTCCTGTGTTTTCCGTGGGAAGTGGTACTCTTAGAAGACAGGCTTTACTATAATGAGCTTGTTTATTTGAACTAAGGCCATTTGTATTTTCCCTTAAAACAAACTGTTTTTATCCAATCCAAGAATGTGGATTATGTTAGACATCCCATTCCAAAACTGCACATACTTTTCAAGTTTACATGGGAACCATTGTCCACATGCAAAGACCAAATAGCAGATGTTTCTTCAGATACAGCTAAAATGTGGCTGCAAACCTCAAAACAGCACCCCAGCTATGGGAGGCATTGGTAACTGTAGGGGTGGTGATTCTTAATTCCCACAGCATATGACAATCACCTTAACAGCTTTTAAAGACCCTACCAAAGTCCAAGTCACATGCAGACCCAAATTGCATCAGACCCTCTGGGAGGTGGAACCCAGGATTAATCTTTTAAAGTTCACGAGTGATTTGAATGTGCAGTCAAGACTGAAAACCACTGATGTAAATATGGACACTTTCCTGCTATTTCTTGTATTTTTTTCATTTTCCTTTATTCTTTTCTTTCTTTCTTCTTTTATTATTTATTTATTTATTTACTTTGAGGCCGGACCTTGCTCTGTTGCCCAGGCTAAAGTGCAGTAGTGTGATCATGGCTCACTGGCAGCCTCAACCTCCCAAACTCAAGTGATTCTCCGGCCTCAGCTTCCTGAGTACCTGGGGCTACAGAGTGTGTGCCACCACACCCAGCTAATTACTGTATTTTTTTGTAGAGACAGGTTTTGCCGTGTTGCCCAGG